CTCATCGAAATATTCCTAGAAAAAAATTACTAAAAATGATTAATCGGAATAAAATGAGCACAAATAAAAAGACTTCTCTATAAATTATCTTACTTTCACTTTTACAAAAACAGCATCCACAATAGCAGTTCGCTCCTCCTTTTTAAACTTATCAAAAACTTCGTTCACGATTGTGCTTCTTTCTTTTTCATTTTGCCTTTGAACCTCCGTCGTTAACCTCTACAATAGATAACACAACAAAAATTCAAATATAGAAGAAAACTTCAGCTCAAAAAACATGTTGTACTTTTACAAAAACAAACCCAAAAAACTTCAGATAAAAACTTACAGAGCATATTTTATCAAGTAATTCATCTTCATCAAAGTCAGATGTAGATGGAGTAGAACGACTCTTGGTACGAGATGCTTCGCCAATAAAAGGAGTTTGATTCAGTTCTTTTGGTTGATTCCAACTACGTGGTAATTCACCAATGTCATGAGTTTGATTCACTTCTTTTGATCGACTCTTTGTAGGTGGTGATTTACCAATGACAGGATTTCGATTCAATTCGTTTGGTCGACTCAGAGTAAGTGGTGATTTACCAGTTGAAGGAACTGCATTATCTACATTTGAACGAATCCTACTGCACGGTAATTTCCTAATTAAAGGCATTGAATTCAATTCCTCTTCTGTAGGAATTATATTTCCAATACCCTAAAGTCGCGGATATCTCTGTTTAATACAAAAAAGTATATTATGAGAAGAAAAAAACTAATAATCAGGCATATTATTACAAAATAAAAAGTAACTTACTTCATGAGTTTTGAACATATAATAAAGTTCAGGAAATTTAGGCTCTCCCACGCATACATAATGTAACATCCTGGGGATCTGAGGCATATCAAGGTACTCATCCTCTGCTACATTACCTCATCCGAACATGGGAAAGCACTCATAGAACCAAACACATAACGGATATGGAAATCCAGTAAGTTTATACTCAGTTGCATGATGTTTGTTCTGCTTGTCCAATACATGTTTCAATGAATAAATGAGCTTCTCATAAGCCACATTAACCCAGGGATATTCACACGAGCCTTCTCGTCCTCAACGATAGATGCATACTCCCTCATTCACACATGAATCGTTATTTTTCCCAAACAGAAATAGACTCTAAAATAAGAATTTCCACAAGCGTAACTGCATCTTCATCATTCTCGCATACGTGTGGATAAGTCACAGCATTCTTGGAATTGCATTGCGAGTCATAAAACCTCGAATATCTTCAGATACACACCCTTGGACTTACAAAATACCGGTTTAGAACAGTGCTCTTTCGATTAAATGATTTTTTAATATTATGTGTTGTTATCGGCAAACCACACATAATGTGAAAGTCTTCAAGGATGAAGGAAACATCATGCCCAAATATCTTGAAACTATAGAGCTCGCTCATTTGTGAATATTCCGAGAAAGACACAGACAATGAACCAACTTCATGTTGCATTTGATATTCTCCATAGCAATAATGTGTTTAAATGGACCATTACTAAGCTTAGCCTGTTGTGCAGGAGTCAAGAAAGATGCAATTAAACTCTTCAAATCATGGTTCCCCTTCCAGTAACCCTTAGAGTTAAACCATTCTGTAAACTCAAAATATCTTTGTCCTGGTTTTGTAGGTAGAGGCTGAGGGACATAAGGACCTGGGACTACTACAGGTAGTCTAGGTTTTTTAGGTGCTTTGCTTCTTTAGCTACTTTTAGGATCTTTAGGTACTTTAGGAGCCATCTGTCAAAAAAAAAAGTAAAAGATACAAATAAATAACATCAGGACATTATCAAAAAGATCACTTAAAACTTCAACACCTAAGAAGCCTTAAGTTCGACAGGTATAAAACAAAAACTTCAGCTGAAGGTTTTAATTTATTACTTAAAACTTTCAAAAGGAGGCCTGGCATAAATTAAAAATTGATATTGCACTAAAAAAACTTCGGCCAAGCAGCTGAAGTTTTTTTGTTATTACTCAAAAACTTCATCAGGAGGCTGAAGTTTTCCACATACACTGGCTAAATTAAAAAAATCATATTGCACTAAAAAAACTTCGGCCTAACAGCTGAAGTTTTTTATTTATTACTCAAAAACTTCAGAAGGAGCCTGAAGTTTTCCTCCTACACTGGTTAAATTAAAAAATGATATTGCACTAAAAAAACTTCGGCCAAGCAGCTGAAGTTTTTTTGTTATTACTCAAAAACTTCAGCAGGAGGCTGAAGTTTTTCACATACACTGGCTAAATTAAAAAAATCATATTGCACTAAAAAAATTTTGGCCTAACAGCTGAAGTTTTTTATTTATTACTTAAAAACTTCAGAAAGAGCCTGAAGTTTTCCTCCTACAGTGGTTAAATTAAAAATTTGATATTGCACTAAAAAAACTTCGGCCAAGCAGCTGAAGTTTTTTGTTATTACTCAAAAACAGAAAAAACTTCAGCAGGAGGCTGAAGTTTTCCACATACACTGGCTAAATTAAAAAATCATATTGCACTAAAAACTTCGGCAAGCACAAAACATTCAGCCAAAAAAACAAAACACAAATTCAAATCCAAAAATAATGCCAAAACATGAAAAAAACTTCAGCTCCTATCCTAAAGTATCATTATCATCTGTTTAACTCTGAAATGTTTTAAAAATTTGAACGTCGAATCACAGAAGAATTTATAAAAATTACATTAACAACATGAACAACCTATCAAACTAAACCATATCATAAATACATAAATATCAAAACCCAAAACCAGAAATTAAATCATAAAACAAAACCCAGAAAGTTAATGCAATGTACCTGTGGTTAAATCGTAATATGGGAACAACGACGACTAGCAGTTGAAAATTCGAAAGAACGACGAAAACCGTTTGATTTCTGAGAAGAGCAAATCGAAAAACGCGAATAACGGGAGAGAGAAACAGTAGAGCACTAGCGTATACTTGGAGAGAAAGTAGTCTTTTAACAAAAAAGGGTAAAATAGTCTTTTCAAATGGCTTTTAACAAAAAGGCGGGTATGAGTGCAAACAGAAAGACAAAGCGGGTACAGGTTAAAAGGGGGCGCCCAAATAGGGCGCCCTGTGCAATTTTTACTCAGTCTATTGCTGTCCCCTTTTTTATGTCAAAATAGCACGAGCTGACCTGTTTTTGGGTTGGTAATTGAAAAATAGTTAGTGTGTGTAAGGTAATTAAAAAATTACTATTATTTAATGTCGAGATAAAATATGAACAAAAATACCCTTAACTAAAACATGAAAAAATCCAACATAATATGCTGGGTTATGAAACTCCTGCATATAAACCTTCAGATATTATGTTAAAATTCCAACACATTATGTATTTCAACAAATTATGGTGGAATTTCATATATAAAAAATTCAAACTCCAACATATTATGTTGGATTTTCGAATTTTAACTAAGAGTATTTTGCCAAATTTTATTTTCGCATGTAAGAGTGACTAAAATTTGATTAATTTTAAAACCTATAATTAATTTTTAATTAGCGAATAATTCTGAATTTCTCATGAGAGAGATTATTCCCAGCCTCAGGGGCCCATTTGAGAACTCGTCCCTAATCATTTAAGCTTTTCTTTTTTTTCTTCTGGCTGGCATCTATGCTTTTCTTTTTTCATTTTTCTAAAAAAAAAGTTCTCTTAAACCATCTATGTAATCAGTTGTCTTCTAAGTGCTATCTATGCAGAAGGTCTTTCGTGTTTCATTTGAAAAAATAAAAAAAGGAATCTAAACATGGTACTCCCTTTTCTTATTTTCTTTCAGTTTCTCTTATCCAATATATAATTTACGAATGTTATATTAATTCCACGTGAATGATCGTGACATAGATTTGCAGAGAATTAATCCTAGATTGTGGATTAATTTTGACAAAAAATGTCTCAAATGATGGATTTGACATGCCTAAGCAATGCATTTGGAAATTCATATTGTAAGCAGATGTTGTAATCATGAACATTATTAATGTTAAATGCATATTTAGCTCTCTAACCCAAAGGCAAAAGGAAAAAAGAAAACAGTCTTGGCAAGACTTGACATGCATTATATGGACATGTTGAACGTGATACATAGTAATAAACAATTGACAATTAGAAACACTATGACAAATTGCAGAAATGAGAATATATATATATATATATACTAGAGATTTGTTTCCTGGACAAGAAAGACATGCAAATTGAATTGTCTTATTGATCCAATTCAGGAATTCCAAAGAAAGAAAAAAGAGTCAGCAAAATGCGTCAACTAGGACAAGCCAAGCCATCACCTTTAATTTTAATTTAATTGATTTGGTCCCTTTTGGGGAACAGAGATTCTTGTTGAAATTTCTAGATAATCAAACCTTTATTACCTGGAGCTTTGCAGCTAGTTCAATTCTTATTAAGCTGTAGGTAGAGAAATTTGACCCAAGTCTTTCTTCAAAGTCATCTTTATCATCCTTATTTTCCTTTTATCGATTACCTCGTTTTTTTTTCTTTCTGCCAAGTCCCTAATCTCTTACCAATTCACATACTGGCATTCATTATGTAATAGGAGTATTACTTGCAAATTAAGTACTCCTTCCACCTCAATCTATAGGGGTAATTTAAAATAAAAAACTTTTGAAATCTATGATTGTAAAAGCTTAAGGAATAAAAGATTTGTAGGGTTATAAAATTTGTGTGACTATAAAAATTTCTTATTTAGGGTAAAATGTGTAAAATAAAAAGTTTAAAGTTAAATATTTTTTTTTGTAAACTAATAAGAAAAGTGTATTATATAAATTGATACGGTGGGAGTAACCTTTTTACCTTGCTCATTGTTAAGCTCGAAACCCAAAGAGACCAAATTTGTGTCCTCTTCAATATTCTTTTCTACTTATCTTAATTTCCTTCTCGGTAACAATGGGTATGAGAAAAGACAAATGAATTATGCCTAAGTTGGGCTTATTTCATTATTATTCCAGAAGCACAAACCCTCACAGATAATATATAGCAAACACATATCACATGGAGAGAAGACCCCTCCATACAAATATTTAATGTATAAATTCATAATGCATCTTAATTCATCAGCATATGTATCTATAGAATGATAATCAAAAGCTATGCTGTGTGGACTCTCCAAAAATATTGTCGCACCCATATCGGATCTTTCAAAAATGTACTACTTTTTGAGGATCCGACACGCACCTGGCGACATCTTTGCAGCGTCCGAGCAACATAGATCAAAAATGTATTGTGAACTACTTTCCTATTTTCTTGTTTTTTTGGTATACCTTTATACAGTAAAAATGAAACATGTATCTAAACATATATATAGTCTAAGCCAAGGTTCAGAATGGCCTTTTGAGACTCTTGAAGTCCAAAGAATCAACACACTCTGCTCTATCCCTATGCACATTCAACAACTTCAACAACTCACTAGCTTTCTCTTTTGTTGTTTCACTACAACCAACTTGTAGCAGCAGCAAAAGCTTCTGAAAAGCACCAAGTTTTAGAGCTTCAACAAGAACATCACCTCCATTTTCCCTCTTCCCAATCTTCCATAGAATTGAAACTGAAAACTCAGTTGCCAAATCTGAAACTCTCAGCAATTTCTTGACCAAAACAGGCACAGTTAGAGCATAACTATAAGCCCTTTTTCTTCCTTCTATAGAGCTGCAAATTCCATCCAAAACACCTAATGCCTTTTCACATATGCTCTTCTCACAATCCACAAGCATCTCTACCAGCAATTCAACTAACCCCACATCAGCAAATCTTGATTGAGCCTTCTTGTTGGCGAAAGACGACGAATGTGATGAATTAACCATGTGGTAGATTGCTAATAAAGAAGCTTTTGTAGTAGTAGGACAAATTGGCTCTTTCACAAGTTTCACTAAGCCTTCTAAAGCTCCTTCAATTCCCAACAAGATTTCAACCTTGTCATGTTCCTCCATTTTCAAGATATCTTTTAGCAAGAAAACTGCATTTCTCCTGCATGATAAACTCCCATTATTCAAGAACCACACCATGCAACATAACGATGAAATCGATCCAAGATTCGACTTGGACTCCCCATCCAGAGGCAATATAGTTGTCAAAGTTGACAAGATCACTTCCCCTGTTGAAGAATTTTTCATATTAATTTCCTCTGAAAATGCAACAAATGCAGCTGATAAAACATGTGCAGTACCATTGGTAACAAAGCACCGTTTGTTCCTCTCACTTTCATTCACCAACTTCTTCACTTTGGACACTAATTCCTTGCACACCTCTGAGTCATGCATCTCTTTGCTTATTTTGGCAAGTAGTTCAACAACCTCGGACGATGTCACAGGAATTCTTGGAGTTGGAATTCTTTCAATCCCATGATCCTTGTTCTCAACACACCATTGTTGGATCATTTTCCTTATGCTGTGATTTGGAATTGGTTCACCAATATTCCTCAATGTTTGATTTGTGATGGGACAAGTTTGATTCCCAGCCTCAATCCATTTCTCAATATTCTCTCTATCGTATGTGATCCCTGTTGACAATGTCACTGGATCTTTCATTAAGTCTAAAGAAATTGGACATGTGTAATGTCTAGGAATCACTAATTCCATGCTTGTTATATCCTCCATTAATCCTCTCTTTGCTACCATTCTTTCTGTTTTCCTTTTCCTCCATGTTGAAATCATCATTTAATTGCAAAAAATGAAATACTCAAAGAATCTTGAAAAGAAAATAGTGAGTTGGGTTGTTTTTTTGGTTTTCTTTTGTTTGTGATGGGATTCAAGTAGGTAAAGGGATGGTGGAAGTATATATATATAATAGCATTTGTTTGATGTCACGCGGTTCAAACTTCAAGTTTATTTAGTCCAATTATAAACTAAAGAAACGTTCAAGAACGTGGGAAGGAGGACTTGAATATTTGACCAAAATATGAAAGATTTGAATAGGTAAAAGGAACCCAAAGAATGGGGCCAAAGATAGGGGGCTTAGACTTGGGGGAGTTGGGAATAGGAATTAATCAAAAGAGACTAAAATAAAAGGAATCAATGGGTTTGATTTTGACGAGAGAAATAGAAAAATGAGTGCGTCAAAGGACGGGGTCGGTGGACTGACCTGACTGATTTGAGGAGACAATTTGGTAACGTTTTTTGTTTGATCAATTTATTTCTTTTGGCTAAATATACTTCCCCCAGCCCCTATAAGTTCTATTTATCACTTTTCACTCCACCTATTTTAAAAAAGTATTATATATATGACCTCCAGCTTTGGAGTTAAAAGTAATATTATCATGTTTTCCATCATATTATCGTGTCTTTTGAAAAAGTACTGGTATTTTTATATCTTGTCAGAACTGATTTTATAGGGATTTTGTTACCTAATTTTGCTCAACCCTTTTATAATGTTCACAACTGCAATCTATTAATCCCAACTCCTGCATCATTTTTGTAACTCATGATTTTGTCACCCCAACCTTACTCTAATCATCACTACCCTGTGAACTCTTTTTCTTCTTTTTTATTTTGATATAATTAATATATTATTTTATTTCTTTTTCTTTGCACTAGCTCAGAGGAGGAACACTTCTTTTCTTAAAGATTAAAACTGTTTACTTCTCAAAACTAAAATACTTTATATGAAAGAGGACTATTTGATGCTTATCTTTAATAAAATAAAATCCATTTAAGCTATCCGAAGTGGAATTATTATTATTCAAGTGGTTATACGTTAAAATAATTGATTTTCATATAATCTTAATAATTGACGGGGTTATCGCATAAGTCTACAAAATTTGAGCATTATTTGTTAAACATAAAAGGTAAAAGGACTAAACTGTAACTTTTATTTTTATATATATATATATATATATATATATATATATATATATATATATATATATATATATATATATATATATATATATATATATATATA